AGAGAAATAAGGGAGCCTTGGACTAGGGTAGTCGGGGAGAGGTCAGATCTGGGATTCAGCCAGCCGCAGAGTTGAGGGGGTTTGCTGTGGGTCGATGGGTGTAAGGTGCAGGAGAAGGAGAGGAGTCTGGGATCCTCCGCGGTTTTTGCCATGGGCACTTGAAGAATGAAACTGCTGTTTACCAAAGTGGGGGTAATGGTGGGAAGGTCAGTTTTGAGGGCTGAAAAATCAAGAGTTCAGTTTTGGGTAAGTTCATTTCAGAATGCCTTTTAGAACCCCGAGAGCAAATGTTGAGTGGACGGTTGGACATCGGAGACGGAGGGTCAGGAAATGGCCAAGGCCTGCAACAGATATGTAGGAGTCATAAAGTAAAAACGGTATTTACAACTGTACATCAAGATGAAGTCTTCGAGGAGAGAGGAATGGACCCAGGAGAGCTGAGGTGCGTGGACTGAGCCCTGGAGAACTCCGCAGAGTCGAGGTGGGAACATGAACAGGTTGCCGCGATAGAGACTGAGGAGAAGCCACACAAAGCTGGAGAAAAACCGAGGAAGGGCAGTGACCTGGAAGCCAAGAGGAAAGCATTTTAAGGAGGAGAGGGTGATCACACTTCAAACTCACGGGACAACTAAGGTAAAGACTCAAATCATCGTGAACCTTGAAAAGAGCAGTTTTCACAGAGTGATTGGATGGCTGTATTAGTTAGCTGTCACTGTGTAACAAATTTCCCCAAACCTAGAAGTTTAGAGCAATAGTATGTATTATCTGGAAGCTTCAGTCGGCCAGGACTCTGGGTGTGGCTTAGCTGGGACCCTCTGTCCCATGGCCCCCATAAGGCTGCAGTGAAGGTATCAGCGAGACTACAGTCTTCTCGAAGCTTGTCATGGGAGGATTCACTTCCCAACTTGCTCATGTGGCTGGCGGCAGACCTCAGACCCTTGCTGACTAGTGGCTGAAGACATCTAACCCTTGCCCAGTGGGTCTCTCCATAGGGAAGCCCCCAGCCTGTCAGCCTGCTTCCCAAGAGCAAGAAATTGGAGAGAGAGAAGGCGAGAGAGAGCAGCCCAAGATGGTAGCTACAGTCTATTGTAATCCAATCTCTGAACTGACAGCCCATCACTTTTTTAAAAGACTTTATCTTTTAGGTTCACAGAAACATTGAGCAGAAAGTAGGGAGACTCCCCACAGGCTCCCCCCACACGCCGACTCTCCCACTATCAAAATTCCCCACACAACATCATCAACCCAAATCCACAGTTTACATAGGTGTCACTCGGTGGTGTACATTCCGTGGGTTTTGACACGTGTGTCCACCCTTACAGTATCACACGGAGCAGTGTCACTGCCCTAAAACCCCTGGGGCTCCACCTACGCATCCTCCCTCCCCACAAAACTCTGGCTACCATTGATCTTTTTGTGGCTTCCATAGCTTTTCCAAAATGTGATGTAGTTGGAATCACACAGTAGATGAATCTTCAGATTGGCTCTTTCCCTTGGCAATATGCATTTAAGTTCCCTCCATGTCTCTTCATGGTTTGATAGAGCGTTTATTTTTAGCACAGAATGATATTCCATCACGTGGATGTACCACAGTTTATCCATTGACCTGTTGAAAGACATTTCATCTTGGTTGCTTGTAAGCTTTGGCAATTATGAATAAAGCTACAATAAATACTCATGTGTAGGTTTTTGCATGGAGATAAGTTTTCAGCTCCTTTGGGTAAATACCAAGGAGCACAATAGCTGGATTGTATGGTAAGAGTGTGTTTAGTTTTGTGAAATACTGCCACACTGTCTTCCAAAGTGGTTGTGCCATTCTGCATTCCCACCAGCAACAAATATGAGTGAAGCTTCCTGTTGTTCTACATCCTCACCAGCATTTGATGTTGTCAGGGTTTTGGAATTTAGCCATTCTAACAAAGTATAACAATATCTCACCGTTGCTTTAATTTTCAATTCCCTAATGACATAAGATGTGGAGTATCTTTTCACATGTCATCCCACTGATTTTGCTGATTCTATTCAACGAAAGAAAATCACTAGGTCCAGCCCGCACTCCAGGGGTTGGCAATCACCCAAGAGCGTGAATAGCAGGAGATGGGGCCATTAAGGGCCACCTCAGAAGCTGCCCAATACAATTCAATTCAGAAAAGAATGGAGAAGAGGAATTGGAGACAAACCCAGACAATGCTTTTGAGGAGTTTTGCTACAAAGAGAAACAAGGAAATAAGAGGTTAGTTTCAGAAAGATGTGGAGTTAAAGTATGTTTCTATTTTTATTATTTTATAACAAACCGGATCCTTCTTATCAATAAAAGTGGCACATTTAATATGTTGAATGTAGCTAAATAAATTTCTATTTTACATCCTTATTTATATATTTCTTAGAAGTATTGTGACCAACCATGTTTAAGTTTGTAAAAACAAACCCAAGAGGGGATTTTTAAAAATAGTCTGTTCGTACCCCTGGCGGGGTCAGAAACAAGCGCATGTGTATTCCAGGGTTTCCGGAGGCTAACTCGCACCCTCTCTGGCTGCCCATCGGCCACACAGTTTATTTAGGCAGATGAAGCCGATAGGCCTCAGCGAGGGCAGGCATCTCCTCTTGGCTCAAAAACAAGCCTACAGCTGCTTGGAAAAGGCAGGCTGCTGGGCCCAGAACTGCCTGTGGCAAACAGCCCAATGATGCCAATTCAAATGTTACCCAACCGGAGTGATCTTTCAAATCGTAAATGTTGGTGGTTGCTTTGTCTTCTGACTCTCTACTACAACAACACAGCAAAATGCACATTAAACACAGAGACCGAGAGTAACTGAATGGGCCCATTAATTTGCCAGAGCAAATGCCCTAGGTCTGCCTGATGTTACTCCGCTGAGAACAAGGCAGCCTTCAGATGTCCTGGAAGGAAGGAGCAGGCAACGGCAGGGTTCGGGGAGGGTCGTAAATCGTGTGCTTGCTGCGCCTTTCCCGCTCAGCACCGAGTCAGAGAGAAGACGCAGAACGGGCATGAAAGTGCTGGCTTTACCACTAACTATACGATCGAGTCTTTAGAGCCGTGTCTGCTCTATTATCCCTCTTCCCAGTCCAAACCTGGAGTCTCCATGGCCTTGTACCGATCCTGGGCACCGAGGGAGGAAAAAGGACATGAATCCTCACAGCTGACATCCTTCTAACGGAGTTGCTGTTCTTGGGAAAGATGAGTCATCAGATGTCACCTGCCGTAACACGTGGGGGCCAGAGCTGTAGAGGGAGTACCACGCAGGACCATGTTTCTGCAGGGCAGAGGAGAAATACTAGCTTTCACTGGGTTTGGGCTATTGAAAAAGCACACAGGTAAAGGTAGCGGCACTTGGGACTTTCCAATTGACTGCACACTGAACTGGAAAACCCTCCATGGCGTCCAGGGGGGGTTCTTAGCCCCGACTCCCCTCCTGTCAGAGAATGGGAGGATCTTAGCCTGCATCAGCAAGAGCAGGGGACAGCCAGAGGATGGGAGCCAACAAGCCTACCCCAGCTGGCATGCTCTCAAAATTCATGTTAGCACAGGACTTCATTGGAATCCCTTCGTCTTCCGGAGGGAATGTGGAAAGTGTGGGCGCAGGCTAGGGGCGTTATTCAACCGGAGTTCCTCCACAGAGAAACATGGCCAGGTGGGAGGGTGGGGTGGGGGGAGGGGGAGGCTCCCTTTAGCAGCAGAGAGGTGTCTCACACCTCCTGATGCCCTGGGGGGTGTGCTCTAGGGCAGGCGACACAGTGTGAAAGGCAGGCCAGACACATGCGGAGAGAGGAAATCCAGCAGGTTTGCAAGCACTGGCTGCCCCAAGGCTTAGGCCAAGTGCGGGGAACGTAGGGATAAAGGCACACCCAAGGTGACCCAGGAAGGCTACAGCCTGCGTCCACTGACTGCTGCCATTATGAGCCCAGAAGAATTTTCTAATGTGATAGTCAACTACTTTGGGGGGATAAATTGCAAATGTCTTTCCCTGGAGTGATTTCCCACTTTCCCAAAGGTATCCCAGGCACTATGCTGAGTTCTGGGGATTTGGTGGAGAAGAGTCCTCAAGGGGCTTACGTTCCACCCTCAGGACAACTCCGCTATTGGAGAACAGCCTCAGGCCAGCTCTGCTCCCCCAGGGAAGACCCCGGATGATCTGCAACAGTCCTTTCCACTCTGCGATTCTTCTTGAGCTCTCCTGGCCTCTCTGGTTTTTCCAGGTGCTTCCCTCTCCTGTATTTCATGTGCTGTCAGCTTGCTGCTGGTAACACTAGACTCAGACTAGGTACCCCCTCTTCCAAGAAGCCTTCCCTGACTCCGAAGCTGGACTTGCACTACGGGAGCTCCTATCAGCGGGCAAGCCTCATTTTACAAGTTCCTTGAGGGCAGGGTGTTTCTCATTCAACTTCACACCCGAGCACCCGTCATGATATCTGGCACAGTCAGCACTAATATCTGTTGCACTAAACAGTCCCTCCAACCAAAATTGCCTCAAGTGCTTTAGTTTCTAGGAAGCTCCAAATCTCAAAATTCCAAGTACAGATTAAAGATAAAACTACAAGTAACAGCAAGGCCGAGGAGGGCACGTTCTGTCCCTCCGGATTTCTGTGACTTGCAGAACAAACACCCTGGGGGGTATGGGATATTTGGGGCGCGGAGGATAGTTAACATTATTTGCATGTCTGGAGTTTCATCGAAACTGCAGCAAGGTAGATGGACACCACACCCAGGCAGATGTGTGGGGTGGACTTCTCCCGAGTCCGTAATCCGTGGCCTAGGCTGGGGTGCCTAGGCCATCGCTCGCCGGCTTTCCCCAGGCCACCGGCAGGGGGCACGGGAGAGCCTACAGGAGTCACAGGCAAGGCGGGGCGGGGCGGGGCGGGGCGGGGCGGGGCGGATGCTGGGCTGGGAGCAGCACTTGGGCAAGTTTTTGGTTGGTTGCCTCGGGGTGCTGACAGCCTAGTCCCCTTTTAAACTTGATCTCTCTGGCGCCCTCCCCTTTCGACCGTGGCGCCCGACTTGGTAAGTGGCTTCCGACTGGCTGGAAGCCGGAGCCACCCACGTGGCCTGGGGGTCTCTCCGGTGACCCTAGGCGCGCCCCGTCTGAGCCGCCAGGACCAGGATTTGGCCTCACTTAGGCGACCCCTCGGGAAGGCCCTACCAGCCCAGGGGAAGGGGCCCCAGGGGAAGCTTCTCTGATGACTCCTCTTGGGTGGGGACGCTCTCGTAGTGCTAGGGGCCCTTCCTCCCCGGGAAGCACCCTGTGACACCTAAGGTCGCCCTTCCCCGGGCACCTGGCACCCCTCGTGCCTGGGACCCCGACGCTCAAGGGATCGGACCACAGGGAGCTTCAAGCTCCCTTTCAAGGGAAGAGCGTTTCGAACACCGGACTGGCCGGGGGGGGGGGGGGCGCAGAGCCCGGGCGCGCGGGCGGCGTCCGGGTGGCTGGCGCCCTCGGCGGCCCCGCCCGCCAGCCCCCGGGGTTCTGAGGCCCGGGCCGCGGCCAGTTTAGGAAGTGGATGAGAACACGGATCTGAAACTCTCAGTTTCCGTGCGGAGCCGCGTGATAGCGGTGTTAGCGACCAACAGGGGCAATTTCGCCCACACGGCCGCTCTCCCGGCACAAATGCTTTTTAGTTGCATCTTCGCACGGCAGTGGGGCTGTTTTTAAAGGTCTGGGGGTGCGTCTTGCAGGAGCGGATGACATTTTCAGGGCGTGCAGCCCGTCTTGGGAGAAAATCGGGACCTCTGGCGTCCCCCGAGAGGAGCACGCGAGGCTGCCCGGCAGAGAGTTTGGGCTCCGGGCGCACGAAGTGGTGGGGCGGCGCTCTCCGGCTCGCGGGGCGCACGGTGCTGTAGAAAGCGTCGTTGCCCAGACCTAAAGATCTACATTTAGAGTTCAGTGAGGGAATGAAGGAGTCCCTGTAGCTGTCATCCGTACCGCTTGGGAATCTTCTTTTGAAATGTGAGCCTTGTGGGGGTTTACACGTTGGCCTCGGGTGTGAAAGATCCTTTTACTGATCAGACAACCGAATAGGATGTCCAAGTTTATCGTGCTTTTAAAAAGGGCGGAAAGTGTGCTGTGGGCTGTGTTCTAAGCACCCCTTTTCAGAAGGATATGGGCGCGAAGCACGCTGTTCCCCTGCCCCCACCCCTCAGTCTCTGGGTCATAGCTGGAGGGCAACACAGGGAGACGCAGTGTCCAGGCGTCGGGCCCAAGTGTTCAGACGATTCCATCTGAGGAAGACACGTGTCCTGCCATCCAGGCAGCGGCGCGGCCCGGTGTCTGCGGGAGCGGGGCGGTGGGGACCGCTCTGTTTGACTCCTCCGGCTCTGGCTCTGCCTTGCTGGCAGAGAAGTGTTGGCTTCTCGTGGTTTTTAAATCAGTCTGAGCTTGTTTGCTTCTCTAGGCAGATAGCTGTTGCCAATAATGTTTACTTTTTCTAAAATGAATACTGTTCCGTGCTAATGTAACAAAGAAGAAAGTGGGGAAAATGCTGGCCGCTGGCATTCTGCTGATTCCCAGTGTCTAGACATTTACTTCACTCTTCATGTTACTTCCCGGCCGGAGGTTACAGACTCCCAAGTGTCGGGAAACTTGGAGAATGTAGCCTTTTTTAAAAATAGGCATTCTATTCAACAGTACTTCACATTCGTCAAAGGTAGCTTGCAGGAGGCCACAATAAAAGATGTTCTTTACCAAAATAAAACATAAAAAGTTAGCACGTGATATTCTTTTTTTTTTTTAAGATTTTATTTATTTTCAGAGAGGGAATGGAGGGAGAGAGAGAGAGAGAGAAACATCAATCTGCGGTTGCTGGGGGTCATGGCCTGCAACCCAGGCATGTGCCCTGACTGGGAATCAAACCTGCGACACTTTGATTCGCAGCCCACGCTCAATCCACTGAGCTACGCCAGCCAGGGTGCATGTGATATTCTTAACCTTGTTCTTCTCGCTTTTCTACCAGGCTGAGCCCAGCTCAAGATGCTGCTGACAAGCTTCGGGTAAGTGGAAAGAATTTGGATGGTTATCCCATACTTGGAGAATTCTTGGCCAAGGATGAGAACTCTCATCTGATTGGAGATGCTTCCGCTCTGATGGGTAAAAGGATTTACCTGAGGCCGAGTGAGATGGGAACTTATTAAATGTAGTCACATCCCTCCCCACTTTAAGAAGTATGTGGGAGTGATTGACATTTAATCTCTCAAGATGTTTTTCCAATGGTGGCCATTTTGAGTTTGAAAGGAGGCTGAGGTGAATTGTTAGCATTTGTAACATGGGACTTTGGGTTTTAAAAATTGGGTTTTTTATGTCAGAACATGACTATGTCAGAATTGACAGCATGCAATTGTGGGGAATTCTATATCTACACAGTTTTGTGAACAAACTTCTTAGGAGTGTGTCATTTAATAATCGCTAATCTAATTACCCACTGTGATACTTCTTTACAGGGCTGGTGCTTGAAAGACAGACTTGTGCTGTTGAAAGCAGCTTCTCAAGCAGATAAGGTGTATTTGAACAGGTGACGGTGGATATATGCACAAGAGCAGTTTTTGCTTTCTTTGTCCCTTTCGTGGTGAGAGCAGGGGTGAGTTTTGAGGCGCTGACTATCTGGAAGACATATGTCTCCCCCACAGAGAATCTCCATAGAATTCAATTCCATAATAGAAAGTTTTTCTCCCAACTGACCCCAGCCAGCAGCTTGTCACAGTAACTATTAGCTGTTCTATACTTCATCTTAAGACAACTTTGTCAACTGAGCCTTAACTTACAAGGTTATTTTAAAATCCGATTCTTTTACAGAGATTATTTGTTCCAAGGTATCCTTTTAAAAACTTGGTTTTGTATGCTTACAGATTTTTCTGTAATAGAACACTTTGATGATTAAATTTGACCCTCTGACAGAAAGCAGATCCATGGATTCCTAGGGGTGGGGAGGGGCTGGTTGCAGAGAGGCGCTGGGGCGTCTTGAGCAACTGTCAGTTACAGTGGTGATGGGGCGGTGTTCAAATTTTGGATGAATGTTACTGTGTGTAAGTTATGCTTCAATAAACGGGACTCTAAAAACCTACCCTGTGTGGCATCTTAATGACATTCTCAAGGAAGTCTGGGAAGACAGTCTTGGGTCAGCACCTGAATGATTTCCAGAGATGTTAGAAGTGGCAAAAACATCAAAATCACTTTGGAGTAGAAGTCACAGATGTGACTCTGGCACACAATAAATACCTGAGAAACAGGACTGAGAGGTGTGTGCTGGCTCAGTTATCAAGGATACACAATTTCTCTATGGCTCTTTCAGGCATCATTTCTGAAACTTAACAGCTGCATTTTAAATCTCACCTGTGGAACACTGCTTCTCCTTCATTCTCCCGACAATCCATTCTGATGGCCACATGGTCCCAGGAAATGGAGTGCAAATTCTTTATGTGCCCTGTAACTTTATGGGCACTACTTGGGTTCCTGGTAGCCTTGCTTTCTACTTTGGCAATTTTCCCTTCCAAGAAAATTTTGAATGACCTTGGCCAGTGCTGGCTAGCCAGGGGATTGGGGAAGTGAGGGGATGTGCTAAGGAACTGGGCTTGCGTAGATCTCAAAGCTCAATGCATAAGCCACATGGTTTACTTTTGGGAGAATCAGTCTGAACTCTGTCCGTTTTCTTTTGGGATGTTCTAAGATGCTTTCGGAAGGAGGGATGGGCCAAGCATTGGTGGTGCCCATAGTTCTTTCCTGTAGGTCCAACCCGCAGAGCCTGTGAGCCTGACCCCCGTGATGGGAGCTTCTGCCTGTAAGATCAAGCAGTGCCCTTCCTTGTGGTTTTATATTTGGTACATTGCCTGCTCCACCTCCCAATCCTCTCCCCGTATCGTGGCAAAACAGAGTTGTCCGATACCTCGATTAAGTAAAATAAGTCTAGCGTCGCCAAAGGAATTGGGATGAGGAGTGGCGCCTTCCCAGGGCTCTGCAGTCAGCTTGGCCCCCTTGGCACGCACGGCCCACACCTGCGTGTTGAGCAGAGCTAAAGCAGGAGCAGAAAGATGCCACCGTGGCTACCAAAGGACTGGGCTGTTCTCTGTGCTGAAGTGCCCCGAGGAGAAGAGGAGCACGTTGACTGGAATGAAATGTTTTCAAGGAGGACTTCTTATTCCCACGGCAGGAGCTTGGGCATGAAGAGGATCTTTATGACTATGAAAGAAAATGTGATCGAAATTGTTTTATGCTGATGGTTCTGATTTCATCGAAAATGTGACATCTCAGAGCACTCCAGTCACGCCTCACCTGCCCAGAGGGGACTTGCCCAGTGCCACTGTTGCTAGGTCAGTTCAGGTGTGGAGTCGATGTGATTTCGAGAAGCGGCATTTCCCATTTTTGACAGGTTCTCCGCAGTGTCCCTAGGCCCTCGAGATCAAGGAGTTTTTGTTTCTTCACAGCAAACAAATCTCTGTAGTCCAAGTGAATGTTCCACACTAAGGTAGATATTTCTTGAGGTTCCTAAAACCTTGAATATTTATACCATTTGGCAAATGGTCACTGTGTTTTCCCTGTTTGTTCAGTTTTGTGACAGATGATCCCTGACTACGGGTTAACATGGCGTGACTTACTCACATCGCCCTGTAAGATGAAGCCAGTTAGAATGTGTGTCAGCCGACTTCTATTATAAGAGATAATTTTGCTCAGTATCTAAGTCAACATCAAAGACTCTACTGTTAGGACAAACTGTGAAGAGACGGCTCTCTATTCCTACACCTCCGCTGCAGTTCCAGAATGACTTGAGGTGGCTTATATACAAGTAGCAAACAATGCAATAATTAGAAGAGGGAATAAGAGCTCAACAAGGAGAGAGCAGGATTATAAAACAAGCCATTTGACCTCTTGCTTTTGGCTTCTGCCAGTTTAGCTCGGAGCCTCCTAGGAGCCAGAGAAAAGAGCCAGTTGGCAATTGTTCCACTTGGCCCTTGAAGTTTTGAATGGAGGAGGAGGAAGAGGCGGAGTCATCCGCACTCTAGGCTGTTAGACCCCGAGAGAGAAGATTCTTTTCTCCCCTCTCACGATCTCAAGTACCTGGAAGGAAACAGAAGTTTGTCCAGATAATGGAAAGGGGTCTAGAGACGGTGGAAACATGCCTTTGACCCTAGAGTAGCGAGGTTGGTCCAGCCCTGCGGGTCCCGACCTACTCAGCTGGTTGTCAAGCCCAAGTCAGGAATAACACCTCCTGAGAGAAAAGCCACGTTGAGATTGTGTAAACAGATAAACAGCCAGAGGTGTATTTGAAAGGCTTATTTTTATTTTGTGCTCATGAAGGTTGCCTTTCCAAAACTGACCTTGTACTCACAAATGGAAAAGTTCTGACTCCAGTCTTTTGCTATAAAGTGATTTATCATAGTCTGGGACTGTGCAACCATGACTAGAAGGCCCCCTAGTGGAGTTCATCTGTACTGCAAGGGGCCAGTTGTTCTGGGGTACCCTCCACCCTTGGCAATGGCCTATCTAGAAGGACAGCTCCACCTCAATCTGTTTCAGAGAGAGATAAGATCCAGTCAAACTGGTGTGATGCATGTCACCATGAGCTGTTTTGGGGAACAGGGGAGAATGGTGTAGTTGTTGGAGCCAAGTCTAACACCACTGGTTTTCCCATTGGACCAGTGCCCTGGGGTGTTACCTCCACACTCGAAGGCAGAAGAGAGCCCACTGTATCATGTATGGGCCTCCTGTAGTGGAGAAATATGTGGAACTCGGGGAATCTCCGTAGTGTCCAAACTGCACTCCTGTACCTGAGCCACTAGCCCCGTGTGGCTGTTGAGCACTGGGAATGTCACTAGTCTGAACTGGCATGTGTTGAGGTGTTTAAAAAAATCAGCTTTGGAAAAATTAATATGAAAAATGTAAAATGTCTCAATGAGTTAAATGTTCATACTTTGGATATGCACATTGGGATACATGAAGTATAATATTAAAATTGTATAAATGTGATTTGCCTTGTATTTCTGTTGGACAGTGCTGGTCCAAAACATGAATCAAAATATTCGTGGAAACATGTGGATAGTGGTTCCTCAATCCAACAGAGAGGAGGATGTTGCTTTTCTACCATATAGGACCTGGAAGAAAGGCAAAAGCAAGCAGAACTCACAAGTAGCAGCTGGTTTTTCAAGGGCAGAAGGGGCAGGTGTAGCCAGCGCTACTGAGAAGACCTGACATAAATCCCACACTGAAACTGCCGGCACGTCTGGGGGTTTTAAATAAAAGACTTCTGAATGCATCTATTAAACCGTCTTTCGTTCTGAGACCACTCTGCGCAGGTGCTTGTGTGTCCATCGGAACAATCAGGGGCGAGGGGACTGGGGTGCTGCAGTGCATCAAAACACAGCTTCCCTGGCGAGGAATCCATGTGATGAACGGTTCTGGTTTCCTGGCCTCGTTGGTTTTGGCTGTGTGCCTGTGTATGTGGGTCTGTGTTTGTGTCTATGGCAATATCGTCTTTCAGGGATTTTTAAGGGAAGGAGAAAGGCTGGGGGAGGTGACACCATAAATATTACTAGAACTTAAAGGACAGTTTTTAGAAACTGCCTTGTGTTAAGCAAAATGCTCCACAAAATTCTCTCCTTCCCTTGTTTTCTCCGAACTCTAAAAAGCAGGTCAGGGTAAAATCCCCTTCTGTAGCTTCTCGACCACTCGTAATGACTTTCTGTCGCTTTGCCTGTTAACAATAAGGCGATTCTTCCCCGAGGTTTCACGTTTCTCCTGCGCAACGGTTCTTCAGAGGGGGTGGCGGGAGACGACTCTGCCCTCCCAGGAGACGTTCGGCGACGTCAGAATTCCCACGGACATGGGTAGGTGGGGGATGCTCCTGGCATCCAGAGGGTAGGGGCTGCAGATGCTGTGAAACAGCTCAGCAGGCCCAGGAGAGCCCCCACCAGAGGACGGTCTGACCTAAAAGGTGCAGAGGTTGAGAAACACCTCCATAGGAAACGTCATTCCCACCAATGCCAACCGAGAAAGTGCTTCTGAACACGCCACAGGCTATTCCCCAAACATGACCTTCCCCCACACGGAAGGGCGCTCTGTACTGCAAGGCCCCAGGAGGCTTCGTTACTGGCCTCCTTGTTCCCACTTCCGAGTGAACTTCTGCATCACAGCGTTTACAGAAGAGCAACCTGTCACTTTACATGAAGAGCTATGGGGATTTCCTTCCAGGCTCCTCAAAAGCTAGTTTTCACATTCATTGTGATGAGCTGATTTTGAGTTGCCAGTTTCAAGACCAGCTCATCACACATCGGTGGTTTTATTAATCAGAACGGGTCAGACCGGAGGTGTTGGCTCGACTGCCGAGGCAAAGCTTGCCCAGGTCTGCGGAGGGACCGACAGACTGCCAGCCTGGTCCCCGAGTGCAGAGACTGCTCAAAGGCTGTCCCCACGATCTGCTTCTCAACAAATAGCTTCTACCCTCACGAGGGGCACTTGGCACATGAAAACATTCACAAACCGGCTGCAGAGCATGGACACACACCCAGGGAACCGAGACCAGACATCACTGACCAGGCATCCAATAGGGCAGAAGCCAGCCGTGGTGACGACAGTGTTGTCCTTGGTGACAGCTTCTGCCCCAAGGGGTCCCGGTGCCTGCCTCCACGGATACCTCCTCCCAGCTGCTGCCAGCTGGTTAACCAGCTGGCTGGCCTTCTGGATTCCCTACCATCTAGCTCTGGCCCCACAGAAGCCTCCTGGTACCTTCTGTCCTGATCCCTGGACTTAGGTCTGAACTCAAGAGTTATTTGGAGCAAATATGTTGTATCCTCCAATGTCTGCCTTTGCAGGGCATTGGCCAGGCTGCCTGTCCTAATGGGCTGCCCTTGTCACTCTGCTGTGGCCCTGGGGGGCCCTGGCCAGGACCCCTGTCCTCCTGGGCTGTCCTCACATCCTGGCATAGCCTCTAAGTCTCTAGGGGCTTAGCCCACCAAAGGTCCTGCCCTGCGCTGAACTCTGACTTGCAGCTCCTCCGTAAAAGCCCTGTGCTGGGCCCCTAACACAGTGCTCAGAGTTAGGAGGGGTTCGCAGCATGCGGCAGACG